GGGATACGCCTCCAGAATATTCTGATTGACAATTGCTTAGAGATTGTGACAAAACCACAACCGATTCAAAGTCTATATTACTTTGACTTTTTTGTTTGACTTATTTGTCGTTTGCAATCAATTATTTTGGCTTTTCATTCAATATAAGGGTTTTTTGTTTAGTTATTTGTGTGCAAAACAATAGCTAGTATTTTATTTCCAATATAAAAGTAGCGAAAATATTGTTTATTTCAATGAAATTCAATAATATTATTATGTATAATATTACGACCAGGGATCAGTATCGCAAAATGGGTTGTTTTATTATAGCACACCTCCACATAAGCTATTTAAATGGCACATACCATCTCATGGTGTAATACACGTATTAGTAATTGAATGTATGATTAGATAATAATTTAGACATTTAGTTAATACTGAATATCAGTGCAAAAAAGCGTACCCAATTTCATAATAGATATGAAATATTATATAACTTTGTTTTACACACAATTGTGTTAATCAACGGAAATGAGAGCCAATTGAAATAAAAACTATATTATTTTCCACAAAAATACAATGTAATAAAAATAATAAAGTCCAATTTGTGTACATACTTATACTGTATAAGTTATACACAAAATCCCTGCAAATAATTAAAACTCATTGGAAAATAAGCTCTAAATTGAAATATTTTTCCTTTAAATATCAATCAATCATTATTTGTGAAAAACTAATACTTTGTCATTCATTTGTTATCTGTTTAGTATAATTTATAACAAAAGCATATCTAATAAGTAGGCATTAAGTAGGTTTGAAATAAATACAAAAACCTTGAAAATGCTGGAGAATTATGTAAAATAATAGCATATATAACTGGGATAAAATTTAATTAAGGATTATTTAGTATAGATTTATCAATAATAAGCACTTTTATGACGAGTGTCTTAAATATGAAAAATATATTCAAGTCTTCAAAAGTAATTAAAACAAAAGAAAAAGCAATAAAAAGAGGATTTGTACCCAATTTGCGGTTTTTATAATTGGGAAGACTTTCTGCAAAACTTCATAACTGAAAGTCACTTCACTTAAAGTTTTAATGACTTTGAATTTCAAAGTTTGAAATATATGTGCCTTTTTTATAATGCATTTTAATTGTGTTATTGAGGGAGAAATTTATGCGTTTTTTGATAACAAAACGTAGAAATTGTGTTGAATACAAAAATCATAAAAATATTTTCATCGCATAAATATTTGTTTGAAACTCTCATATGGTTTGTCAGCATTATTTGCCAAATATTTTATGCATTCAAAAACATTTCGAGTTAAAAAGGTTTACAAATAAAATAACTATTAAATAGTTTTGTTAGTTTTGTTAGCTCGACATTGAAATGTATTATTATTATTATTATTATTATTATTATATAATGTTGCATTCACAAATAACATTTCATTGAAGTGTACAGTACTGTATTATAATTTATAAATAATTTTTATAGCCTATTATATTCCTATTAATAATAGACTATTGTACGCAAAAAATATTCAATTAGCGATTATCTTATAATCTGTTATTTTATTTACAGAGTATTGTAAAAAATAAAATGATTTTTTAAACTGTTTTTTAATTCAATACCAAAACTTTTATTTATATTTATATTAATTATTAATTTTTTAAATACTTTGAAAACGATTAATATCACTGTTAAGAGTATAAATATTTTATTTACTTAGCTAGTTACTAACACTACTCGTAGTACATTCATTGTATTGAAATTTATAAAAGCACTTATAATAAAAAATAATTATCATTGAAATAAGCTTAGCCTTATCGATAAGTTTTAGATATAAAAATAGTTTTAATCATCATCACTATGGGTAACCACCATTAATAATGGTGTCCATGATGATGGTGGTGTTTGTGACCATGGTGGTGGTGATCGTGGTGGTGGTGATCGTGATGGTGCCCAAATACCGAGTCAATAATACCAGATATAGGATTCTGGTGGTGGTGGTGATCCTCAATGATCACTGTCGACGGTGTATACGCCGGTTGGACGGGCTGTATAACCACTGGTGGTGGTGCCACGGGGTATACGGTGGTCGGGTACGTTGAATGTCCTGGATATGCCGCCCCGTGCACTGGTGGCGGGTAATAGGGGGCTGACGGTGCGCTCGGGTAGACCACCGGTACGCTGGGATTATAGTGGGTGCCGTGGCTCATATGGGAGTGTCTAAACTCAATCCGGTGGACATCCACGTGCCCCTCCACATTCAGTATACGTATCTCGTGTAGGGGCACCCGATGGTGATAGTGGCATATGGTGTGGCCGTTCACCATCACCCGGTAGTGCTGGTGCTCCACGTGGATGGACACGTCGAAAGTGCAGCCGTGGTAGAGGTGATGGAAGTCCCGGTGCTTCTCCTTATGCCCCCAATCGCCATAATGTCTGGAATTGACAATCACTTTGCGTTTGTTGAGTTTGGTGCGCACCTGTAGCCCGATGTTTGAGTGCTTCTCGGCGTGGTGTCCGAACTCGTGGCCACCAAATAGGTTGAGCTCAAATTTGCTACAGTGGTGCGGTATGTGGCCAGTGATCTGGATGACACTACCCGGGTGTAGACCACCCTCCGGGATGTGGCCCCAGTAGGGCAGCGCCGGACTCGTGATTATATGCATTACGTGTGTTCACGGATTTATGGCTCGTAATAACTTTTACAAAATTTAATTAAATTAATACTTTAGAGACAATAGGTTGGTGTTTGTGTAATACGCCTTTCCCCAAGTGGTGTACTGTGTATGTCGTGTCACCACTACTTGGGAGTAGTATTTATATATGAAACGCCTGCAAACGTTATGCAATTTGGTTGCAAACAATTCAGCTAATAGTGGAAATCTAATCAAATGTCAGCACTTGTGTGTAATTCACGTATATATTTGCTCTCAAATGACTAATAAAAACCACACTGATAAGAATAGGAAATAAATTTTAAACCTAAATTTCTAATATAATAAACTAGGATATAAATTATTAATTCAAATTGGCTTTAAAATCTGAACATTAAAATTGCGCTCACTTTTCATAAACATTAAAATAATAGTATATTCACTAAAACACTACTGGAATAAACAAATACAGTATAACAATAAAAAAATAATATAATGCTTTTCATATTAATAGTAGTAGTAGTCAAGAATCCATAGCAAATAATATTCAATAAAAGTACATTTTTGCTTTTTTTGATAACTTATTTATTAGTATGATTGAGCATTAAATCTGTGATTATCGCTAATCTGTTATAAAAACAAGAATATTCTTGCGTAACATTATACATAATGCTATTATATAGACATTTGTGTTATATATTGACAGAATATTCCGTATGCGTAATAATGCTTTTAAATGATTAAAGGCTTAAAACCTTATTTTGATTTAAATCCTCATTATGTATGACATTCCTATAATATCGCCAGTGCCTAAGTCCCACAAATGTTTAATTAATTTTTATTAATTATGTAAATTTTTGATCAAATCTAAAACTCTAATGAGATGTAAAAGCAAAACTATGTTTATGTACATGAAATATGCAAACAATGCCAAAAAATAACTCAAAAATGTATTAATTAATAAAAGTTATTTATAGAAGTTATTGCATATACATACAGTACATATCTATAAAATTGTTTTACGTAAGCATTCAATATCAATTATCTGGAAAAATATTTTAATAAATGATTAGTTATATAGTTTACATAGTTTACACATTTATCGTAAAATATTAAGTTAATTACTAAATAATGAATCATTACCAATGATTAATCGTGTGGGTTATCAATGGGAAAAATAATATTTATGAGAAAACTATTAACAAAAATTGACTCAAAAACATAAAACCCATTATACTTTACATCAAAAATTCAAACACTTTGTGTTCAATACATTTCTCATTTAATGTGTTCACGTTTTTTCAGCAAAATTACACCATTTAATCAAATTATACGAAAAATTTAGCCATTTTTTACTCCACATCTTAACCATCACTCAAACCACAGACAAGAATCCAATACTTTTATGGCAACCAAAAGCGTATGCATTATATAATACTAGGATATAATGATAGCCACAAAAAACTCATATTATATTAATAATTGTGTTATATTTCTCTCATATAATGTCTCAATCCTAGCACGTCTTGAAGGGTGATGTATCCGATGGCAGCGATTGTCACGAAATGACATTTTTCATGAATGCCGAGGAATGTGACATCACTTTCGTCGTGGAGGACAAGCAAATCGTCGCCAATAAATGGCTCTTAAGGATGAAAAGCGATGTCTTTGACGCCATGTTCTCCGCGCACTTCAAGGAGTCCAGTGACGAGATAATCGACATCCAGGACATGCCATACGACGCCTTTAAAGCCATGATTTGTTTCCTATACTGCAATAAACTGGTATTACATGACAGTCAAGACTATAGACAGGCGATGGACGTCTACCGGTGCGCTCATAAATACCATTTGCGACCATTAATGGCCAAAACCGAGAAGACCTTGTTTAAAATGATCACTTTCGACACCGTGGAGGACATGTACGTGTTGGCCAGGGATTACGGTATGAGTGGGTTGCGTGAGCGCCTGGACGCGTTTCTGGCGGCCAATCTGGACTACTATTCGCGCAAAAGTGCGGATCAACTGAAACGCGTCAGTAGTCTCAGTGATAGCCATTTAATGAGTCTATTGATCGTCGAGAAGGACAATGAGATCATGCGATTGGAGAAACTGGTCTCAGAGTTGGCGAAACATTGCGATCAATGCCGGAATCGGATTACATTCAGTCCATTGAATACGATTTAGGGGTTAATAGTAATCTCATACAACATTATATCAATACATGCCATACAGTACTATAGTATATATATGATTTTGGTATCGATCGCCCGATTGCCTAATATATAATTAAGAGTTGTCTTACTTTATCGTCAAATATCTCTAACTATTTGTTATTTGTTTTGTAACTCGAGTTAAGATTTTATTGTATTACAAAGTAATCTATGTTTAAGCTAATATGTAATGAATCTCATTTATTATTAACAGTATTAGTAATATTACAAACAGATAAGTAGTATAGCAAAATGATTATTAATTTAATTTTCAAAGTAATCTGGTTAAAAATATTGTTTTTATTTATAATATAATTAATTTAAATATAGTCAACTNTCTCATTTATTATTAACAGTATTAGTAATATTACAAACAGATAAGTAGTATAGCAAAATGATTATTAATTTAATTTTCAAAGTAATCTGGTTAAAAATATTGTTTTTATTTATAATATAATTAATTTAAATATAGTCAACTAATTTAATAAGTACTAATCACTGCCGTATTACATGTTTATTTTTGATAAATTATGAATTTTGTAAATTTAAAAATAATCATAAATGTAAATTTTAAATAAAAATGTGTTTACAATTTATACTAGTTACGGGTTCAGTAAGTTATTTAACATTTTATTAAAATTTCTAATCAAACATTTATTCAAATGTTATAATAAAAACTACTAAAATAAATACTCAATTACCAACCATAAAATGAATGCATGGATATTGCACCGGATCCAATTACTGTATAAAGCATT